CAGAATGAAGACACAATCCTCAGTAATTTTGGATGCTTTACAAAAAGTCTGCTCAAGGCAGGATTCTATTGCTCACATGGTAGTACCATGCAACATGAAATCCAACCCAGAGGCTGGCCTCTGGTAGAATCCAGACCAGAATGCTGCTTGGGCTATGAGTAACCAGCAGCTTGCCTTTTCCCCAGTCTTACAGGCTCTGGCAGGCACCCTTCTCAGGACTCTGTCTGCAAATCTAATAGGCTGTCCATGGCATAAATAATTCTTCAAATAAACTTTGGATTTCCAACAGTCCATCTCAGTGTCCCCCTTGAGCCTCAAATAGGAGTCTCAGTCAAGTGAATCAGTAAAGACACAGCCCCCCACTCCCATACAATCAGCTCTCTCAGGGGTGGAAAGGTTTTCTAATATTTTAGCCAATCCCCATGGGTAGTCTTCATTTTACCAGGAGAGGTCATTTCTAAGCTCCAACGCATATTATCAAGACCTTAACGTTTCCTAGGAAATTTCATCTCTAGCATTTAGTGTTGCTAATTAGAAAAATGTCTGTGACCAGAGATAAAGATTTGCTTTCTCGGCTCCACCTCTGTTAGCACAATGGCAGCTGTCTGCCCCTTTCACCCCCTCCCCCGTGTGTGTGTGTGTGTGTGTATGTGTATATGTGTGTATGTGTGTATGTGTGTATGTGTAATCTTCCTCTGCAGGCACCTGGGAAGTTCTCAGGGGGGCATCTGAATGGCTGCACATTTGTGCATCAGGCAGCCGGGGTACATAGGGTCTGAAAAGTCCCATGGAAAGAGGCCAGCTGGGGCTGTCCAAAGAACAAAGTAAAGAGAGAGGGTGAAAACTGTTCTGTGCGTACAGATTTATAAAATTACTTATTTTTTTTTAGCTGCTCAATTACACAAATCAAAATCTCTCTACATATTCTTTCCTCTTTTGTTGTCATATAAACAATTTCTACCATCACAAGCAACAGTGGTAAAACACACCACTTGCTCACTGTTGCATTCCACATGTGTGTTTTGATTTTGGTACTCACTGTTTTTTAGATATCACCTAATTGAAGCTCCTTTGCAATTAAAAAAAGGACTAACTTATTATTTATGTGTATGTTTGTGTGTGCCTGTGACAGACTTCATATGGACCGAATGTGTGTAGGTGTCTGTTGAGGTCAGAGGTCGTCAGATTCCCTGGAATTGGAGTAATAGATGGTTGTGAGCTGCCAGAGGTGGGTGCTGGGAAGTGAATCTATGTCCTCTGGAAATTTATTGCATGATTTTAACTGTTGAGCCATCTCTCCGTTTCATCCTTTCCAATTTTTAAGAAAGAAACTCACCATTTAGCAATCAGTACTAGGCCTACAAAACATGATCAGACTTTTCTATGCTTTGAAATGTCACACAGCTAGGACATGAAATTGTGTCTCTCCAGCCAAGACTGCAGGTTCCTCACATTGCCTTGTGTTGATGCTTAGTGAATCCTTTATCAGCGTCTTTCATTTAGTGACCGGCACAGCTCTGGGCATGTCGTCAGGATTACAGAAGCATTATCAAGACAGAATTTACGTTTGGCATGAGGTGTGGGTGTGGGAGAGATGCCTTTCCCTTACTCACCTGCATCACTTGATGCAGGTAGGAGAGCTGGCCCCACTCCTTGCCCTTGGCTGCAGTACTAAGGAGAGTGGGCCTTGCATTCACCTGGGCAGCACAGTGGGCTCTCCCTGGCAGCATGGGCAAGGGTGAGCTGGCCCTCAGGGGATAAGAGTGGGAGAGCTGGCCCTGCCCCTTGTCAGCTGCAGCACTGGATTGGGTGAGCTTGCTGGTACAGTGCTGGTAAGCTTGCCCTGGTGGTGTGGGTGCAGAAGAGTGGCTGGTTGACTAATTCAGCTTCTACTTGGCCAGATCTAAGGCTCTGAGTTGGCTCACCCCAACATCTACCCCACCTATGAACTGCTGGAGGGTATGAAAAGGCTGGTCCTGCAGATCCAAAGCTGGAGGATCTCCATGACACAGGGCAACAACAGGTTATCTGAGAGGAGTCCGTGTAAGGATCCAGTATTGATAGAGTAACAGAAGCCAGAGGCCTCAAACCAGACCAATGACTCACTGCAATAAACATTTGCAAATATAGATGTGTGGACAAAAGGGTCTATTGTGTGACACACTGTGGCACACTGCAGCTTTTATAGCAAGATGTCTTATTTTTTATAGTTTTGCTTTCTTCCTGGGAGGTTACAATGGGAGGGCAGATATGAAGCGATGGGGAGATGAGTGGGGTCGTGGTGCGTGATGTGAAATTCACAAAGAATCAATAAAAAGTTTTTTTTTTTTTAAAAAAAAAAGAGATAGATGCCAAAGTCCATCCTAAGGTGAATCCAGACTTTTATCTCCAGCCCTAGTACAGCTGTTGGGGGACTGAGCTGCGCCCCTCAGAGCCTATTTTTCCTTGGAATCAGGACTTGTACATTGATAGAAGAGGAATTTCAGAGTCCAGATTGCTAAAGTTATAGTGCATTCTTATTTCCTAAAGAATTATTTTTATATTATGTATATGTGTATGTATATGTCATGGTTATGTGCATATTTGTGCATTTGTTCACGGAAGCCAGAGGCATCAGATCCTCTGGGGCTAGCATCATAGGTTGCTGTGGGCTGCCTAATGTGGGTGTTGGGGGCTGAGCTAGAATCCTCTGCAAGAGCAGAAGCCGCTTGGCCACCTCTTCAACCCTAGATTGTGCTTTTATTGATTTTTTAAATTACTTTTTTAAAGACAGGGTCTCTCTCTCTCTCTCTCTCTCTCTCTCTCTCTCTCTCTCTCTCTCTCTCTC